TATATTTATATATATATATATATATAAATGACTTGGTAAATTCTTCCAAAATATTTCATAAGGTTATTTTTGCTGATGATACTAAACTTGTTTTGTTTTTTTTGTTTTTTTTCCCACATAAAAAAATCTTCAGACCTGGAGGAAATAGTAAAGGCAGAACTGAAAAAAAATAAATATCTGATTCAAGAGCAACAAGTGATCTCTTAATATCAGCAAAACAAATGTTATTCTCTTTAAACCCAATAAATCTAAATTTTTAATTGATCATGTAATTCTCAAAATTGAAAATAAGAAATTAATGAAAGTAAGTTCCACAAAATTCCTGGGGGTCCACATAGACGAGTCCTTAAATTTTAAATTGCTTATCGAGTGTCTCCTAACAAAGTTGTCCAAATATGTTGGCTTGTTTTTTAAATTACGATATTATTTGCCTCTATCCACACTCTTAACAATGTATAAAACTCTCATTGAGCCACACCTTACATACTGCAATACTTACCCTAGTTATCTTAAGAAACTTGAAAGTCTTTAAAAGAAGATAATAAGAGCCATGTCATGGTTCGAGTATAACGCCCCCACATCCCATCTATTTCATCGTTTTGGTCTTCTTTGGCTAACAAAATTAAATGTGTTTCAGAATGCCTGTTTAATATTTCAAATTGTAAATAAAACTATTAAAAGATTAACAGAGCTCGTTCCAATCAGTGGTCCACAACATACTTATGAAACCAGGAAAACCATCGTATCTACATCAAATATAGAAGACTTAGAATAACTGGTCAAACCTTTTCTGGGAGGGGCCCACAGATTTGGAACGCGCTTGACGAGAGTTTGAAAGAGTTGAAATTCATCTCCACCTTCAAAAAACAGTTAAAGACCAAATTGCTCCGTTTATATACTTGAGATCACTTGTAGGACCTGTAACTGATTGATCAGAGGTAACATTATTTGTTAAGCTTTAAATATCTTTTTGGAGACCTGATTCATGCACTGTTATCTTGCAGTTATGTATTATGTATTATGATTCTTTTTGTGTGTGTGAAGAAACTGAAACTGAAGTAGCATAACCGAAAACAAAAACATAAACTTGTTTTATTTACGTCAGTTTTCTATTAAGCATTTTATAGTTTCTACCCTTTAAGTTTGATAAAACAATAATTTATATCCATCGATCCATCATCTTTTACCCACTTCTTCTTTTCTGGATCATGGGGGTCACTGGTGCCCATGTCCAGCCATCACTGTGCAAGAGGTGGGGGACACCCTGGACAGGTCTCCAGTCCATCACAGGGACACATAGAGACAAATGAGACAAACAACCATTCACTCTCTCACCCACACCTAGGGACAATTTAGAGTTGCCAATCAACCTAACATGCATGTTTTTGATCTGTGGGAGGAAACCGGAATATCCGGAAAAAAAACCCATGCAGCACAGAGAGAACATGAGAAAGGTCACCCAGAAAGGTCTCAGACCAGGATTTGAACCAGAAACCTTCTCGCTGAGAGGCAGCAGCTCTAACAACTGAACCACCGTGTTGCCACAATAGTTTCAGAATATCAATAATAATTCACTTGTTCTGTCTAATGCAGCAGCATACTCCACTTCCACTGCCCAAAGAGTACGACGAGGACTCACTAATTCCCAGCAGCCCAGCAACTGAGACGTCTGACAATGTCAGCCCAGTTGCCAGTCCCATACACACCGGGTCAGCACAGCCAGCACAGAACAAAACATTTAAATCCCTCGAGCTCTGTTTGACTGTTCAGTTCTTACATCCTTTTGTCCAACGACAGGTTCCTAGTCAGTTTCATGGTGGATGCTCGAGGCGGTTCAATGCGAGGCAGCAGGCATAATGGTCTGCGTGTCATCATACCTCCACGGACGTGTGCGGCACCCACCCGCATTACCTGCCGCCTGGTGAAGCCGCAGAAGCTGACCAGCCCCCCTCCACTAGTGGAAGGAGAGGGGTTGGCCAGCAGGATTATTTCCCTGGGTCCAGCTGGCATGCAGTTCCTGGGGTGAGCCAACGACTGTACAGTTCATTGGGGACTTTTTATCTTTACATTCAACATTTTGACTACCGTAACAGTTAAAAATGTGTCCCATACTTATACCCCATTGTTCCAGTTTTTCTCAAGATAATGCTTTGAGGGCTCTTTTTCCCCCCACTTCAGATATCGTACGTGATTTGTATGCACTTCTCTGTGTGTGTGGCAGCCCGGTGATTGTGGAGATCCCTCACTTTGCAGCTCTGGGTCGCGGTGACCGTGAGCTTGTTGTGCTGAGGAGTGAGAATGGCTCGGTCTGGAAAGAACATCGCAATCGTTACGGTGATGAGGTGTTGGAAACGATTCTAAATGGGATGGATGAGGGTAAGAACTTTAATGCATCACTTCAAAACCAACGTCTATAGATCTCACTATGGGGCAACACACGTTGAAAACCCATTCCTTCTTTGTGCAGAACTTGAAAGTCAAGAGGAACTTGGGAAGAAGCGAATAGGGCGCATCATCTCTACCGACTTTCCGCTTTACTTCGCCGTTGTGTCAAGAGTTCAACAAGAAAGTGATCTGATTGGTCCAGAGGGAGGTTCTCTGACAAGTAAATTGGTGCCGATGGTCCAGGCAACATTTCCGGAGACAGCAGTTACCAAACGAGTCCGTCTGGGTCTGCAGGTGAGATGGGACAATGAGGAGGAAGAAGGAGAAGACAAAGAGAATCTTTAATGCCTGCGCTGCCTGAAAAGAAGCATGATGGATTTATTTTGATTGATTGTGGAATGACCCAATCATATCAGCACACGTCAAGTTTATGTTACGTTGCTTTTAGAGGACCTTTTGCTTTTTGTTTCTCATTTTGCATGCACCTGTCACCTTTATACAACTGTGGACTGCTCATTTAGTGCTATATTATTAGGCCCGAGCAGCAAAGCGCTGCGAAGGCCTATTGTAATTGTGTCGTTTCTTA